AAACCAAGTGGGGATTTCTCCAAAGATCTCCAGGGGATAGGATTTGGGAAGTTTACAGTGAAATCAGTTCCTCAGGCAGAAATAAACGTTCACACGGTACCTCTTACCCTAACATCAGGAACAGCAACCAAACCAAATCCACAGAAAGAGCCCGAGATGTGGAAATAATGGCATTTGTTTGGGAGAGAGCCATCCGCTCTCAATGTGCTCTTGAACTCTCCAATCCCCTCTCCCCTTTCAAACAGCTGCAGGTTTGTTTGCCTTTTAAATTGCTCTCACCCCTTAAAAGCCACGTTTTGCCTTTTGAGCTGCTAGTCAATGTGGAATTTGGAATTTTGTCCAGCAGTCCCACACATTTTGGATTACTATCAGCCATCAAAATTACTCCCAGCCCATGAGATAAATATATCAAACATAGTTTAAATCACTGTGAAGGCAGTATGGTTTTGAAGATCAGCAGGAAACTAATGAAATGCAAACGACTGTCGGGCTGTACATCTTTGCTCCTAGTTGATTTGAAGTAATTGTATTTTGGTGCTGCACACACCTGAAATATTTTGTTGGCAGGTTCTGCAAGATGCCTTAAAAAATGTAGAGGTAAACCATCCTATAGGTGCCATAGAGTCCTGTTGAAGTCCATACTGCCTGCATCTCTAGATATCCTTTATTCTTTCAAGGATTTCTCTCCTGTCCTATTGCCACCAACTCCAGAACCGATACCAGCTTTGCCACACAGCATCTCCACACGAGAACTGTGGCCGCCAAAGCTACAAAACTACAAGGAGTGCGCGCTGCACTCCCTGAGAACAGCTTATATTCTTTCACAAGAAGACCTATTTACATCTATTTACTCTTTACTCTAAATATGGTGTCTGGATTCCAAAATTATTCAGAAAATTGGTATCCAGTCTGAAGTCCTGAGCTTAGTTCTCCTGACAATGGCAAGAGTTTGCTTGCCAGACCTCCCCTTACCATGAGGCCTCATCTATACACCCTCTGAGGTTGGGAACAGTTATACTCCACCAGCAGCCCAGGTTTATCTGACAAATAAACTCAGATGTGAATCCACACTCTGCGCTATACTGGCAATTTTTTTTTAACCCGGAAAACTAAGGGTTGTGACTGTGCCCCTCTCTTCCCTGCTGCTTTAATACCACAAGTCCACTGAAGCAGAAAATGAACCATTTTCGCTTGGCACAGACGTACCAGAGACACTCTGATGTGGCATCTTCTTATGAATGTTTCAGAAAGCAGGCTCCAAGGATGGGACGTCACAGTCAGCAGAGCTCCCACCCATGACCACTTATGCAGTTCTGTTGTCCTAACAGGTAATCACATGAGCCCAACACCTGCAATATGGAAACCCAGTGAGATTTTCCATGTGTTCCGTGTCATTACTTAGCTGTCTTCCTACCAGTAAGCCATGTAGAAATCAGTGACTATAGCTCTGGGGCTAATGATTTCTGAATTTCATTTACTCTTTTAATTCCAATTGCAAGAAAGGTCAATGATGGGGAACCTACACAATTTGGAAAGGAGAACGAAGCTGGCATTTGACACCAAGGGTGTTCCCCATTGCTGGCTCTGCATTGCTAAGCCATTGCTTGCAATAAGAAAAATCATTTTTTATTCCATCGGATTTGCAGATTACAAAATTCAGGGTCAACCACAAATTGCTTGAACCTACTCCTCTCCTTTCCTCTGTGTGCTGGATAGAGATCTCCAGCGTACATTCCCTCTCCTCCAGGGCAGCTGGGCTCCATCTCACCACACTAACAGATGCTAGTGACTGCTTCGCTCCAATCTGGTACCACAATGAAGCAGGCAGATATTTTAAAGTGCTCAGCATCTCTTTTGAAAGTGTGGAAGTGACTTCACACTTCAAAACACACTTCACTTCAAAATCTGAACCACCTCCACCAGGATAAAGTCTATGGTAGAGGGAACTTCTCTGTACCAGCCAACCTGGTGACAGGTAATACACAGTCATAGGCACCTTCTACACCTTTTCAGTTTTTCTGAATACAGGATGAATCTCAGCAAACCTTTTTCTGCCAGGTGGGGTCCTGGCCTCTTACATACCTCTTTTGGGGCTTGGCATGGCCCCTGGTATCTCTTTCATTTCCTGGCTGCTTGCCATGAGACATATTTGTAGGACTTCTAGCTCCACGGAGGCTCTATCACCCTGACTCTGCCATCCAGCAACAATCCAGCTGGCGAGACGTGTCCCAGAGATACGGATGCAGCTCGCTGGTTGATCCTGCCTGGATCAGGGTGAAGCGGGCTTGCTGTGGCCTTTCCATCCTCAAGGTGACAAACAGATGCTGTGTCTCAGGAGCACTGCGTTGTGGAAAGCAAAGGAGAAACGAGGTGAATTGCCCGAGTTATTTTTTTCAGATATGAAAGCAATCAATTGATAAAACACCCCTTAAATACATTTTGTGTGGAGATAATGACTAGACAAACAGAGCTGTGTGGTTTCCTAGATAGCTGTTTCCTGCTGTTTTCGATCATTTCAGTACAGATTCTAGACAAAACTTGTTAAAATATTTTGGTTTTCTTATCTTCACTTGCTGAAGATATTAAATGGAGGGACCGTTCAGGACCCTAGCATAAATTTGGTTTGGCCAGTTGTATTTGGTGTGTTGGACAAGACCCAAACCACAATAAGCAGTCTGAAAGCTGCAACATGTTTACTCCAAGGAGTGTTAATGGAAAGGCTTGTTTGATTTATTCTGTTAAATCATATAAAAAGACTTTTGCAATTAATGGGTGTATGTTGCACAATCACATTTCTTTTATTTCTTTTATCAGGAGAAACAGTTCCCTCTGGGTCTATTGAAGCAGTGTAATATATCACGGCTGCAGTTACGGTGTGGATCTATTCTGTCTGCCCTGCCATGCAGAGCACAGCAGCGTACTTGCAATTTTATACCTCATTTTGCAAACAGACAGAAATTTTGAATTTTACTGAAATGACCATCCATCTTCCACTGCACAACTCAACCTGCCCATGCAATTTATATCCAGATTTCGTGTGGTATCCCTCTGGTTCAAGAAACGCGTGATATTTGCACATGTCAGCGCAAACTGTCCTCAGCCTCGAGCTGGCAATGTGCTGCAAGCCACTGGCAGTGAAACACCGTGTGGAGTCTAAGCCATGCTCCTGAGCTTGCTTTGCAACACTCCATGTCTGGAGATTGCCTCTTCACCCTGCGAATCAACTGGAGATAGGAGAAAAACACTAGTGTTGTATTTAAACATATATATATATATGACCCTCCACACCTGGGACCCAGTTCACTGGCTCAATAAAAGATAGGAGGAGGAGGCGAGACAGAGGGCAAGTCAAAGGAAAGAAGAGGTCTCTCCTTTCCCATGAGATGTGCTGGCTCCAACCCCTCATCTTGCTCTGAGGGCTCCAAAGAAGAGAGGTTTGCCTCCATTCTGTGAGCGCAGCCATCACCAGCCCTAAGGTCTAGCTGAGAAACAGCCCAGGGCTGTTGTCCCTTGTCGTTCAGGCAGGAGAAACAAGCGCTGATGTTGAAAGTCAAAGTCCTGCTGGACCTTAAATATAGGCAAAGGCTGTTTCTTCAAAAAGTGCCAGGGAAAGGCATTCACACAAAATGGCATTAAAATAAGCATCTTTCTGGTTGAGTGACCAAGCATTAGATTCACAGGGGACACACTGTTTCCAGCTCTTCTAAAACCCTACCGTGATGTCCCCGGCTCATGAGAGCCCAGCCCATGGGACACCAGAAGGGGGTCCTCACCGGGAGCTGATCACACTCAACACAACTGAGCAGATAGATAGAAACGAAGACCACAATATGACTGCATTCAGAAGCAGAGCTAGGATTTCCTAACAGGCCAGTGGTTGGTTCCACAATGGAAGTTATGGTCTTTTTCACCTCAAAAAGCTATCAGCCCTCCATGGAAAGCTGGTGTTTCACTTCCTTAAAATTGGTGATGGGAGAAGACCATCTCCTTAGGCTGCGACACAAGTCCTGGTTATCCCACAGAGTTAAGTCTTATCCTTGCACGGCCCTTTCATTATGCTGCTGTTCCCTTTTACTGTGACACCGTTCAGTTCATACTATGTTGTTTACATTGGGATTTCTTACGTTAATATTTTATTTTCCCTTACAAAAACGTGCTAAACCTCTTCTAAGAGCGGCGCATTCTGCATCACTCTTGGTGTGAAGGGTGTATGCATCCTCTCTGTATCTCTGTTTGCCTCTGGGAGAATTCGCTGTGCCCGGAGACCCGTAGTCCACCTCCAAGGAGCAAGGTGTGTCTGACAAACTCTGCATGAACGCTTTCAGAAATCAATATACCTTGATTAAAAAACACGTGCGTTGCCAGGCTGATTGAAAAAAAGCTTTTGTAAAAAGGTTGTTCTGCGCCTCGGTGGGAGCAGGATATCCTGGAATTTCAGCTGACGTCCATACCCAGCTATTGTGCAAATACAGAGGTATAAAGAGAGCTTGCCTTACCCGGCCAGAGGGGAGAGGCTGCAGCAAGGACATCCCTGTCGAGGCGTCAGCAGGAGCTGCCGGGTAAGAGACCACTTCCAAGTAAATGGCTGTTTATGAAACTGTCTTGTCTCTGAGGAGAACCGGGTGTTCTTTTTCTGCTGGTGTCCCCGCTCTTTGTGGCTTTTGCTAGATGTGGTTGCTGGAATTGTACCCAAGCGAGCACTGCTTGGCCAAACCAGCTAACGTGCGTAGAGATCTCACGTGAGGAAAGGGGCTGCTGATGGGACAGAGGGTACCTGCTGCCCCATGACTATTTTAGCCTGCGTTTCCAAGTCACCCACCAGGCTCCAAGTGCATTCAGGCCTTCAGATAGAGATGACCTGATCTGCATTGCTTCTCTGCCACCTTAACTCCCATCAAACCTAACCGGAGCTCTGGCTGATTCTTGCTTGGCTGAAAATACAGACCACTTCACAGTGGATTGAGCAGCTTCTCTCCGGATCTCAATAAATGGTAGGGAACATGCGACCAAATGTTGGAATTCAGCTGCAAGGTAAGCTGCGGAGATAAGTGCAGACAGACACAGCTCTTCTTTCTTGATGAGATCAACCAGTGGGACAAACTCTCAGAGGCTCCCAAAGCTTTTGCTCAAGCATCAACCTTGAAGTTAGCCCATTCTTAACAGGGAGATGAATGTTTCATGGGCCTCTCTTTTCTTCTCCTGAAGGTTTTGGGTATTTGTCACATTCTGCCTACCTGAACTGATCTTTTCTCTTTCGGTTTTTGCCAGGCAGAAGCATGCACGCCTTTCCGTTACTGTGCTCCCTCCTTCTCTGCAATGATGTAATAGTGGCTGCACAGAAAAAGATCCAGAAGCTCCCTGATGAAGGGGAAGAAAGCCCGGCTCAGGTACAGACCCCGCAGACTCTCTCTCGAGGTGAGTGACTGGGATGCTCGAGGCAGTCCTGAGGCACCCCTATTTCCCCAGCGTGCACCTCCGCCCATATAGCCAGGCAGGCAAACGTCTGAGAGCAGTGGCTGGGAGATCCCCTGTGTCACCATTCCAAAGCAGAAGCCCAAACCTACCTTTCATAGGTGCCGTTTCCACCGTGGCCAAGAGCACTGGTGCATTCAGGAGGGGAGAAATCCTCACGCTCTGTGCTTGGGAACAGGTACAGATGCTTTGCTCCAAACCTGGGCTGGGGACAGAGCCAAGAGCCAGGCTGTGACACGGGCCGCTGATCCGCTGCTGGATCACCTTTGCAGGGGCTGGGCTCGATAGGCAGCCCCGACCCCCGCAGGCATGCTGTGTACACAGGAGACCAGAGGCACACAGCCGGGCTACGGCCAGCTCAACCCTTCTGCTGTCTGCTTTCCTGCCAGCATCAAAGGCCCAGCATGGGCTGCAGGTGCATCCTCTTCCTCCCTGGGCTCTCCTTTGGGTGATGCAGGGCACGAGCAGGGGGCTGTAGCCATTGGAAGGGCCTCCAGACTCAGGTCCAAGCTTTGCTCCATCAAGTACGATCCAAGCTCCTCACACCAAAGCACTCCTGCATTGCTCCCCCCCCAGCCCCCAGCCTGTCGAGCACTCTGTTACTGCAGAAAACCAGATGCAAGCAGCAAGCCTGGTTTGGCTCTTTGGGAGGGTGGACAAATTCAGGGAGAACTCTGAGCTCCAGCTTTGAGCGTCTGGAAATACCTGTCTGTGTTCCTAATCCACCCCCTGAGCTATAGCAAGGCTGGGCTTTCACCCCCCCCCTTCCCTAGCATCCCTTTCCTTGCACCTTTTTGCTTGGGGTTCTCCTGGTACCCACAAACCAGGCTCTGAACACCCTGAGGAAGGTGCTTAGCTTGTGCCACCCAGTTACATGTGCGGCTCCAGCTCCCCATTCAGCAGAGCATCCTCACCCATACTGACCAGAAAATTAACTATGGGTGCTCTCAACAGGCTGGGGAGATGACATTGAATGGGTGCAGACATACGAAGAAGGTTTAGCAAGATCAAAACACAGGTAACACCTCAATTCTTGTTATGCTGGTTCATACGTTTAACTGCACGGAACGAAGCTACGCTCTAACACGATGCTTGGTGATACAAGTTGTATTTTGCTGCGTGATACGGAGGCTGAACAAGATTTTGGCGAGAGCTTACCTTTTGGGAGCTGAGCAAACACCCTTCAGCATTACGCCCCTCAGTACGTGACAGCGTCCACACCTCCCTGCTAGCCCCATCGCTACTGCTCCTCGAAAATGTAAATACTTGTGTAAACACATCCCTGGAGCCGCTTTGCAAGTGTGGTATGTACAAGGTCTGAATTGCCTCCCCACTCCTTTCCTGCCATGTTGTTTCAGCAAGAAGCCACTGATGGTTATTCATCACTTGGAAGAATGTCCTTACAGCCAAGGTGAGCAAAACAAACCCTTCCAAACAAGCTGGCAGATCCGAATCTGTGCCAGTCCTCATTCCTTACAAAGCATTTGAGCACTTGGTGGGAAACCTTTCATGCAGGGAAAGGTGGAGAGACAGTATATCCACTGGGGACCCTTGAGTTGGGGCTAAAAAACAGTTGTAAAGCTGTTCTGGGCAGTAACGTGCTCTAGGTCAAAACTTCCCTGGCAGAGACACATGGCTACAAAACAGGCAGGCAGACACCAAGCTTTCCTCCTTTATCCTCTTTCCCACCCCTGATCTCCTGTCAGTTCTCCTCCCCACCTACTCCCAACTCCAGTCCTGAGCCCCAGCAAGCACAGAAATCATCAGCTTGTGTGATTAAAACTTGGGGAAATTGTATCCCCCCCAAAAAGAGTCCCTGAAAGATGTCAAGCCCACAAGGTTAGGCATCACACTGTCTCCGTTGCATTGTTTTATACCATGGCTTTCAAGTTTCAGGTATCCAGGAAAAGTATCTTTATAGCCTTCAAAACCATGAAAGCAGTGATCCAGATTTTTTTTTTTTTTTCCACCCAAATAATGTTTTTCTTTTAGCTTTAAGGGAAGCATTTGCTTCTAGCCGAGAGATCCAGCAGATGGCTCAGGAGGACTTTATCATGCTCAATCTGGTGGTGAGTCTGAATGTTAAAATGTTAAATCAAAATGTTTCCTCAGGAACGGGTTAAGCCACATTAAAGCTCTGCACAGCTTTGAAGTAGTATTTGAAATTATCTTTTCTTCTCCCACTTCTATGGGGATGTACAACAGGGTTTACACCACCAAGACAGTTCCTCCTTGGAGAGGGGGCAAGGAGATGCTTCCATACCCACATTTTGTGTACTCCAGCTCCAGGTAGTATTCTGATACACGGAAAAAACACCCAGTCATCAGGTTTCTGAGTTACCTGCCTGGGGTTTCTGTCCTCATCCCCAAGCATCTAGCACGGGACAACTTGGACAGAACAGGGAAACTCCGTATTTGATCACACCGGAATTGTTAGGAGTTGGTAGACGAGGCAAGCTCAGCTCATTCAGTCCGTTTCTAGCGCTCGGACAGTCACCCGTCACTAAGAGGCTCTCTAACTCCGACAGCATTCCAGCAGCGATGACAACATGGCACCCGATGGCCATTACGTCCCGCGGATCCTCTTTGTGGGTGAGTCTCTGGGGCCAGGGGAATAATCAGGGCAGCGTTTTTTCTATACGGTCCCCATTGAATTCACGTCGCTCCATGGAATAGCTCATTTCCTTTTGAGCACTAAAGCTGTAGGAATAACCCAGATTTTCAAATGGAACAGCTTCACTGGAGAAATCAAAATTGATTTAACAATCTGCGCTTAAATTGGGCATCCAAAACCACTACCGTCTTTTTAAAAATCAGGACTGTGACATTCTTATTGCAGTAGTGAAAATGAACGGCCTGTCACTCCAAGCCTGTCCTCAGACAAAAGCCAACCGCTCTGTGCCCATCACTGACTCTGCCCAACAACTATACGGAAGGCAAATTTACCAAACTTCTGCACACAAAGGGTACAACAGGCAGTACTCTGGAGCCACCAGACGGGACTCGTACGTAGAGGATCTACTCGTGAGGGTTTCAAAAGCAGACTTCCTTCAGTAACGTACAGCTGCTGAGAGCCTGGTGCTTCCAGATGTACCTTTCTGGCCACAAAAAGGCCAATCAACACCCTTTTATAGGGCTTTTATCCTCATAAAATTAGTCACTGCCACCCCACTTCACAAAGCGCACGTTACTAATATCTTGCACTTTTTTTCCTTCCCCTCAAGATCCTTCAATGACAGTTCGCGCTGATCTAACTGGCAAATACGAGAACAGGATGTACGCTTACGAACCAGAAGATATTTCAACCTGTGAGTGAAACGAGCACTTTACTGACCCTTTTTTTAGCCATCTCGAGTTTATACAAGACAAACACAGTTAAAGGAAAAGGGAGTAAGAGAATCTTGAGAAATGCTGGATCTATTTCTGCAGTAAAATCTACTCCAAGCCCTTTATAAACATGAATGAAGTAAATTTAGTGTAAGTGCCTTCTGGGGGGGACACGACACCAAATAACATAGCTGAATATTTCTGAAAAACTGGGTAGTGAAGCATGGAGAGGTGTCCTCAGTGTCTGAACCTTGCTGGTGGAGTTTCCAAACGCAGCGGCGGTTTGGCCCAAAACCCCACCGGCTTTGGTCCAAGGCACACACAGACACTGCCGCTCCGCTTCATAACCCGAACCGCAGAACCCGTTTCAGTACTTCTCACCCTATGGGTAACCAAAATTTACAAATAGATATCTCACAAGGACTGGAATTAATTCCTAAAGGCTGATGTCTCCACACTCCCCTCTCCTGGCTGCCCACTTTAGTAACACTGAGAGGTTTGTGTTTTGTCTCGACCCCCAGGTCGTAGGGAGTTGGGATGAGCCAGGCTCAACAGCTAAGGGTAACAGAACCAACCCCTTCGCAGGGACAAGCAGGCTCCTCACAATTCTGTGGTTTGGGTTCACAGTCCCCTCTCCTAATCTTTCCGCTTCAGCGGCACACGGACTTTTGCCTGACACTCCGATAAAGCTTTGAGCCTCACGGGACACCCACAGAATGCAAAAAAACCCATCCGTGCCACCCACCAACTCCATCGGATGAGGTGGTGTATTCTGATGGCATTCTGTCCCTGCAGCACCGATTAAAACACAGCACTACAGACACTTTTGCCACCAACAGGAGTTAACAAAACACCCCAAGAGAAGGAAAAGAAAAAAAAAAAAAGTTCTCCCAAGCGTCTTAGTATTTTCTAAAGCCAGATACTAATTCCAGTTAAAACCTGTTGCTGAGACAAAATAACTAGTCAAAACTACTCATTACAATTGAAAAAAAAAAAAAACAAAACAAAACAAACCA